ACAGCCACCCCCGGGCCCGCACCCCCACCCGCACCAACCCTCCCCCCCACCCACACCCACACCCACACCCACACCCACACCCACACCCACAGCCACAGCCACAGCCACAGCCACAGCCACAGCCACAGCCACAGCCACACCCACACACCCACACCCACACCCACACCCACACCACCCACACCCACACCCTTGTACGACATAAGTAGCATCAGCAATATTCACATTGTCGTCATTGCCAACGATCCTACATAGTTATGAAAGATATATGCGAGAATTATTAACAATTTTTCACTACTACTGTATACACATGATCATTGTATGTAAGACTTCATAGCTATCAGCTATGAGCATTCAGGTTTACTAAATGCTGAACGAAACTGTTATTGAGCATTATCATTGCTTCTGAAGCTGGATGATCAATGAGATTCCCAATTGATAATCTAAGCAATCGAAGCACAGCTAGTCAAAAAAGGAGTGAAACTAGAGAAGTTCAATCTAATTAATTCTCCAAATATATCCTTGAAGACAATGGGGAGAACGAAATAAAAAAATTAAAGTGGATTAAACGGAATAATTTGAATCGATTTTGCGCAATCTGTGCTCGAAGATGATAAGAAAAGTAAACAATTAGAAGGAACAATTCAAATGAACTTCTTAAAATGAATTCTTGACGGCTATCTAAATCCAAGAATGTGACTATAGGATCTCGTAGGCTTGTCTTAAAAAGCCAACGAAACTGTTCATTCACTTGAATTATTATCTACCCTTGATCATTCGATTAGGTTCAATCTCAATACAGCGAATACTTTTCATTGAAAAACTCTTTATTTACCTTTGACGACTTGTTTAGATTTATCTAATTAAAACGAATTAATTAGATCATGAAATTTACCCTTATCACTGAAGGATGATGTTCAGCATTATCCAAATAAAAAAAATATTATTTGGTTAATAAAATTTATGTTTACCTTTTCATGACGTTGTGCAGTTTCATCTACATAAAAAAAATATATTCTTATATTAAAAATATCATCCTTAACCTTGAGCAGTTTGTGAATTTGATGAAATTAAAAAACAAATAATTTTTTATTTAAATTATAGGTACACTTGACAATATTGCTGCATCCAAGTGATTAATCAAACGAATTCAATCCGCGGTGTGATTTCTATACAGAGGATTTATTTTCAATGATAAAAGTTGTAGTGTTAAATCAGATGATATTTAGTGTATCAAGTGTTTATTCAAATTCATAAAATAATCGTAAAAAAAGCCATTCGGATAAAGGAACTATACAATTACAATTGTAGAATATTGGATATGATCTTAAAAGACTCTGATCGTCACACTTTGTAAGAATCTTATAGCAGAAAACATAATACAATTTACAGTAAGATATGCTTACGCTTTCATAAGATCATACATTATGAGTCTTTACGGCATACAGTTGGCAGTAAGATCTTATAGGAACTTCGTTTAATTTTTTCACCCGGTATCAGCATAATGAAATAAAGCAAAGAAAAATAATTAAACGAAATTATTTTCATGAGGTTTTGGAAAATGATTATTGAAGACGATGAGGACATCGAAATGACGAAAATAAAATGAGTTTGAAAAAATAATTTCAATGTATTCTTCATAACAGATTCTTAATGAATATTATGTAAAATAATGAAGTGCAAAGAATCAAAAGGATATAATTTTAATTGGTTCGTCTTCATAGGCTCTGAAAGCGATTACAATAGCGAAATAAAGAAAAGAAAGAAAACTTAACATTAATTATTTCGCTGCTTTTTGTCTCGTTGTATTTTTCTTTGATACTGTGACTATATAGCTTGTATAGTGTGCTAAGAAAAAGATTCCACTACCAAGCATGTATGTACTTCGAGTTTCGAGTATCCTAGCTAAAGGTTGTCATAAGAGTAAATAAATCGGTTGATAAATGAAACGGAGCGAGCGAAATATTCTTTTTCATGATTAGAACATGTATGTGTGCTTATGCGTTCAGATAGAATTCAGTGAAAGAAATTGTATAGCGGGATAAGCTGCATTATTTTTGTATATAAGATTATAAATGGTGTTTCATAAGTTTTGATCCCGTTTTTATTTTGTTTTCTATCTTTGCCGCATTTAATCATAGATCAGGAATCTAATACATCTTTTTAAACAATTATATCGAAGCTATCAATAAAAAGAAACTGAATTAAATTTGCATGAACTCTTAGGCAGAACCATATCTATAAAAATTTTGTTAAAGATAGTTTTAATCTGTCTCTATCACGATTAGAAAAAAAATAGCAACCACTTGCTCGTTCACTAGTTGCGAGTCCCTTGTGTTATGCCTTTCATACGATTTGATATTCAGGTCCTTGTTATTATTGAGTTTAATACTAATTGCATGTCATTCTCATTGTTATATTTTCGAAATAAACACATAATAGACAACGAAGAAAAAGTACCTTTCAAAAATTGTTTTCAAAGCTTTTATGGGTTTAGATCTGTTTTAGAGTTCATGCAAATTGAATTCAGTCTTTTTTATGATTGATAGTTTAGACCTGATTCAGCAAGAAGATATATTCAATATCTCTTCACGATTAAATACGGCAAAGATAAAAAAACTTAAAAAAGAAGTCGAAACTTATGAAACGTCCTTTATATCGGTATGTTGGAATTACTTGTTTAACAATTTGAATTACTTGTTAAAAGCAATTATGTTCGGTTAAGTCGCTCCGTATGGTTTGAGTATATTGGCGCTTGGCTCTGTTGTTAGAAGAAAATATAACATCTGAATTTAGGAACTACCTGCTTCATCACGTTTTATTGTTTTGCTTGAAAGAAAACAGATAAGGGTGTGGGATGCTGGTGTGGATATGGATCTTCTCTTAGCTGACGGCTACACTCACACCCACACCCTTACTTCATTCGTACACAACTTGCTTTTAAGAGTATGACGAAATAACTCTTTTTCATGCGTTACAAAACTCAATCTTATATTTACATTTCATGTTGATGTGGCAGATGAAAACAACCTTGAAATCGCGACGAACGTTTCTTACTGCTGCAATGAAAGCAGCAATTTAACGACACTTACATTCGAAAGAGAATTTGCTGATGAATAAAAGCAATCATTCTTATGGAAGAGATGGAGTGTTCTGTTTAGATTACTCTATAGCAACATCGCCACCATGATTGACTTGCTTCAAAATCATTGAGTTTTCCCCAGTGAATGTGCATAAACCTCATCTTTCTTGCTTCCTTTTGGATAGATTGCAGCTGCAGATAAGTGAAATACGTACTTCTTATGAATTCACTATTGACAAGATCCGAAGGGTTCAAATATCAACATGAACTTTTCATTTTAGGTAGTGAGTGACCAGTTCTCCCATAAGTGGAAGCATGGAGTCGCTGTCAGAGCACCAAACATTGAATTGTTTTCTGTCGGAACTATCTTCGTACATGCCTATTAGAAAAATGCCCTCCAATTCACCTCAACGTTCTGAAAACATCGTTTCATCCGAATGTAATATTAATCAATAGATCTCAAAATTGCCCGTTCATGAGACACCATAACGAACCATTTTTCTTAAAAAAACTGTGTTAAAAGAATCAAATATCATTTTGATTGGCTTAGTCCCAGTCATTTTCACTCAGATCTCAACGAGGAAAATAATATTCGACAATAAGGATATAGATGTGAATGTGGATATTGGTGAATAAAGTGGATGTGACTGTCACAAAAATTTAAACTTGCACATCCATACCTTGTTTTACTGGGTAACGATTGCAGTGTATCTATTATTCACAACAGTAAAGATTAAAGATACGATTTTTGTCTTTGTTAGAACCGTAAAGTGTTCTCAGATTTATCTTTACATTTGAAATATGACGTAATATAGAGTTCGGTTAGAAAATAAAATCGACAAGGGCCCATTCGTTTTACAAGAGTATTTGTATAAAAAAATATCAGATTAAGTAAAATTGTCTCCTATCTACATTGTAGCTCAAAAAGCCAATGGCAAGTTCAACGATTGATGTTCATTTCAAACAAACTGGTGAGAGTATTAACGTGCCAGTGTCATTACAATCCACAGTGGAAGATATTATTAAATATGTGTGTCAAAAGAGTGTACTCACAAACGAGGGGTTCGTATTGTCAGTTACCTAGTTTGATCATATTCGAGTTGCATTGATGCTCTCACCGCTAAACTCACAATTTTGAAATATACAGTGCTAATGGATTGTGCGAACCAATACATTCCATTTTTCAGTAGATCTTGTCTGTAGAATCCTAGTTTTTCAGAAAAATAATATTTTCGAATTTCGTCTTGACACTTTGCATGCATAAAGGCTTGAATTGGATTAGGTTGCAAAACAAATCTAAAAGTTTTAGGATAGTCTATCTCGGAGAAATGAATTTCTCAAAATGTCCAACGTTCATGGAAAACGCCTGTATTTTGAGAAATTCATATCACAGCGATAGATCATCGAAAACTTTTCAAATTGCTTTTAACAGTCTAGTCTTATTGAAACCTTTATGCATGCAAAGTTTCAAACTGAAAGTCAAAAATATTATTTATCTTGAAAACTGGGGCCCATCAGCGAAGAACCATAGAAAATTGAAATATATTGGTCCGTAAATTCTATCAGCACCTTATACTTTAAAGTTGTTAGTTTGGTAGTCAGTGTTAATGTGGCTCGAATCTGATCGATCTAATTAACTGACAATACGAACTCTTTCATTGTTAGATCAAAGATTGATTACAATAATTATTATCTCGTTTTGTTGAACAATCAAGAAATGCTGGATAATGACAAAACAGTGGAAGAGACTAACATTTTTACAATAGAAAGTCCTAAACTTCAGCTGAGCATGAAGGCAGCGATACGTGAGCAGATATTGCGTTTTGCTAGTCGAAATCCAGGTTTAGTCCAAGATGGAAGAATAGTCAAACCACGAAAGCCAGTTTATACTCCCCAATCAATAATACAAACAGCAGATAATGAGAAGGTAAGTATTAGCAAAGTCGCATGATTGCTTTCATTGAGTGTGCTTACTTGAGTAACCTTCATACATGCAGTGTAAAAAAAACATGTTTTTTTCTGTTTCAAGTCATCACCTTCTCGTTTTCAAGCTGGAGCGTCAAATAAATCAGTGCTCACTTGTACTGCAACACAAGTCACCACAGAAAGAAACCCAGCACCGCCAGTGCCTCCAAAGCCTTCTAATCTACCAAAAAGCAATTCGATCAGTGAATCGCCACGAAACAACACCCCATCTACGATTCCACCTGAAATAGTCTCAGGTACTTCTTTGCTCAAGGATACTTCACGTCGCACAGATGAAAAGTTGAAACCTCTCGATACTTCAACATTTGTTTCAACAACTACAAACTTAAAATCGAACATATCTGATTCCTGTTCGATGTCATACTCACGTGCGCAACCTACACAAGCAGAAGTAACTTTTCGTAAAGAAAAAACAGTATCACATGAAGATATTAAAGATTCATCTCTAACAGAAAATTTAGCTGACACTTACCAAAGTGTGACATCTAAGATCCGCGGAATTGGTACGGCTGCCACTCGTGATCCTGTTATACATCAAAATATTTCTACTACGTTCAAAGAAATTAATATTGTGTTGTGTGGTTCACCTCGAGTTGGAAAGAGTACTCTGATCAACGCCATATGCCAACAGACACTGGCTAAAACAAGTCCGGGACTTGATGCCTGCACACACGGAATCACGCGTTACTACCTTAAAGGTAACATCGAAACGGACTCTGCGACAATTAATTATGAATATAACTTTTGGGACACTCCGGGACTCGAAAGTTGGACTCAAGAGGATATTCGCAGACACTTAGAAAATATTTTAAAGAAGCCTAAATCCGATATACTATGCATGATTTACTGTGCATCGCCAGGTTCTTTCGCAAACCTTGAAAAACTAAATTGGCTACTAAAAGAGTGTATGAATAAACAAATATTTTGTGCTCTTGTGTGTACAAACAAATATTGTGGGCAAGCAACACAACGAAATGGTGTCATGCAAGATTTTCAACGATTACTGGAGCATTACCACGCCAAAACTCGAGAAGAAAATGGTGTTATATACTTTGGAAATATGGGACTGTGCACAGCGGTAAATAGCCAGAAATTTGTTGATGAAGATACAGGCAGAATGTTCGAGGAATCCGGTGTTGATGAACTTATTTTGGGTATTATGGAATCACTCGACGATGAAAAAGTGGCTCAGTGGTGCATGGTAGCCTTTGAGAACAAATCATTTTGGAAAAATGTATTTAAATTTCCAGCACAATTGAAAGCGTTCTGGAACAGAATGACTGGCAGGACATGAACAATGAAGAGGAAGAAAAATAAGCACAGCATTGCGAAAAGTTTAAAAGAATAAACATTGACAAGTTTAGAAAACACTTTATCTTACATTCTATTAACGTGTTTTGCTTTTATTGATTGTATTCCTACAAAGCAAACCTGAGCAACTCAACTCAATTTAAAAAAAAAAAACTTCCGATTACCATTCGCTTTCTTTACAAGAGAGACTTCTTTATCGGCATTTATTAACCAGGTTACATGCGAAATAACAAAAAAATTTGTATTCAACTTTGCAATTATAATGAAACATCTTCTAGAAACAAAACGAGAGTAAACACAATACTCTTTTCATTGTCTGAATGGTATCCGATATCCACGAATCCAATGACGATGTGAGTGTATATGTGTGAGGATGGGATTGCGGAGAAGGACGTTGATGTGAGTCAAGAGCAGACTCACACCTTTACAAACATATCTCCTTACACGCCCCTCAGCCACCCTTACGTCGCGCTTTCTCTCTTCCTACACAGTCACAGCCTGGGCCCACACCCTCAAGTCTTTTTAACTGTTTCTTGACATTTTCATTTGCGTAATGAAAAAATAATTCGTGAAAAAAATAATAATTATAGAAAGTAACAAATAAAGCGTAAGAATAAGAAAGTGTGAATGATATCCAAAAATATTAACATAAGTTGATATTGGTGTTGAATGATATTTTTTTCTTAAATGATTTACAATATGAACTATATCGTTTTAAATACTATGAACATATATAATAGGACATATTCTATAATGACTAAAAGTTAATTGCTTTAACTCAAATGAATTTCTTCAAAATGTTAAATTTTGTTTTGGCATTCAATAACAATATTCGTGATTATGGTGAATTGTAAATTTATACCTTTGATATATTCTTTGATCATTGTTTTCTGCTATTTATCATCGAACACTAGCTGTTTGAGAATCATACATACAAACGCAAAGATAAAATTGTCTTTCATCATCGTTTTTTTACATAGTTTCGAATATCCAATTAGAAATTGATAATAAAGAGACGATAACTAGCAGATTGATAACTGTGTTATTTTTCTTTGTGCTACATTCATGTATAACCAAGTATTCAATGTATATCTTGTTATGATAATATTACATGCAATAATGCTATTCTTCAACAATTCTTTTTCTTACGAGAACAAGCTACTCTTTATTTATATCTTTAGTAATAAATAAAATACATACGACTGAGTGTTAAGAGAAAAATTAATTTTTCAAGTTTGTCTCATCGTTTATTTTCTTATTCTTGTTTCGTACCTTTTTTTTTATAACTAACAGATTGATGAATTAATTATAATGCGTCTGTTAATAATTTACCACGATGAACTGAATCAGTTATAATACTGGAATCAATACCAACATCTATATTATATGCATCAGTATCATGTTTATCAAGTGGAAATGCTTTTAGATGATTACATGAAGCTTTGAATGACATATGTATTAAGTATAAAAAAAATGCCTAAGTAATACGAGTTAGAACAATAGATTACACATTATATTTTCATATATCTGAAAACGAGAAAGAAAACTTGTAGATGGACCAGACGCGTACGAAAGCTGTAGAAATCATTTAAAAATTACAGTTCAACACTACTTCGGGATAATCAGTTCAATACAGAGTTGAAAACAAGATTTTATCACTGACTTCAACTGATGAAGACTAATCGATTTTGTATCAATCAGCAGTTTCTTTTTTGTTGAAAGATAGGTAAAATATTCAATTCGTACAGTTCTTTTTGATTTCGAAAAAGAACGAAAATTTCTCATTTCATAAACACGATTGCTTGGCACACACACTCTTCATGCTGATGGATGCGTTAACATTTTTTATATGTTTAACATTTTGTATATTTCACAAACTAATATAGAATTCCTGATGATCTAAACTTTTAAGGTTAAAAATGCGAACTGTGTCAGTCGACCAATTTCGCCTATAAGTAATGAAAAGATTGAAAGGAAAGTATGTGTACGTTGTTTAACTGGCTTTTTGTTAAAATACATATAAAATTATGTTTCAAGAGTTACTGAAATTATTACTAACAACCTTTGAAAATTTATTGAATTCTCGTCAGATAAATACAGTCAGAAATCGAGTTGATATGTTCAAATACTGAGTATCATACTAGGATAAAGGATAAATTTCATCCCCAATTCAAATTTTCGTCTAGAAAACTTATTAGACAGCATCTGAATGAATCTATTTGGTTGGCATCCCTATAATCACTATGCTTGAACAGAATAGTTAGAACCAAGTCGAAACATAGATAAAGAAATACGAATTTGAAGAAAAGTAAGTAATGATTCCTCTGCAGAGGTCTCAATGGGCTGGGCCAAGCCCAGCTCATCCAGCCCATGGACCGAAATGGGCCGAATCTAAAACAAAACGAAAATTATCAAAACTTCTTTCTCAAAGTAAAACTGAAATTTTTTTTTGCGAATGATCATCGGATAAAAGCATAATCGTAACTGAAAATCAGACATGTAAAAGTTCGCCATTAATTATCCATGTGATTCTTTATATGTAATTAGCTGTTTTTACAGCTCTTTTACATATGAGTTAACAGAGTGGCGCCTAACTTTTGTGACTGTCTTCATTTTAGTTATATCGCAGCTAAGTTATTTTGGTTTGTCGTTTTTGCACGCTGTATGTGGCGAGCAGAACATTTTTTGGAAGATTGGAACAAACTGGTATTAGTACCAGCTTGATACTTTCATCTAACGTTTCAATGAAAAATTTCAGATTTTCTGTTTTTGAGTTGAGTTTGACACACAGTGACGACTTGACATATGTACACCTAGCAAGAATTAATTAAAGAAAGAAAACTCATGACGCCATACGATAAAGTGCTTAGCATCTTAATTACGTCAGTTAACATGGCAACTCAACATGTCTGTCTGAAAAGTATCAGTCAGATTAGTGGCCCATGGGCATCCATGGGCTGGTCGGTTTTTTAGAAAAAAAAGGAGAAAAGATTAAACTCTTATATAAAATCATCAAAACATATTTACTTGAATAAGATCAATTTATTTAATAAAACTTTTTTCTTCAACTAAAAATAGAAAAAGTAATAATTAATTGATGAAGGTTTGAAGTCGAAAGTATTATTTGAACTGTGAATGAATCTACAAGATTGTCATTTATATCAACTTGTATTTCTTGTTGTTTACATTCGATACTTATGGTATCCATCCGACCAATTAATAAACAATAAAAATAATTTCTTAACATATTCTTTGAAGTGTTTGAAAAAACATCGCAATAAGCAAATTTTGGGAAACAAATCAATATAGAAGACGTATTGTTTTTTATTTTCGTCAAAAAACCAAGAGATCAAAAGTCAATTTGACATTTTCAAACTAGAAAATGAGCTCTGGTATTTTTTTCTAAGACAATTACATTACATATATAGTTTTAAAAGCTAATTTAAATGCAGAATGATTTTTTAAAATAAGAACTTCTTGATGAGTCTAATCAAGATTTTATCTCTTTTTGTAGATATCAATTAATTTGTATACAGCAAGTGTTCACCAAAAATAATGTTGAATATAATGGAAATTCAAAATACACTCTGATCATCATTTTATTGGTAAATATTATCACACTGAAAAAAAAAACGATAGGCGTTTCATCGAATCTAATTATGTTCGCAGGAAGAACCTCTTGGATTGCTTACTCAACTGCTGAGTCTCTTTTGAATTCGTATGGAACCAAAAAAAAACAATCTTTTCCTGATCATGGGTTTGATGAAAAAACTATTCTTTTGTAGCACTCACATCAATTTTCGAAGAGAATATAGTGAGTGTAAGGTTAAATCAAATATTGTAACAACTTCCTATCTTTCATAGACCCTACCAAGCAGAGATGCAAGGAACAAAAACTAAATATCATTGGGTACATTTTACATAGCAACGAGAAAATGCGCGTAGATAATAACTGTGCTTAGATCATTCTGGAACTTTCTAAAATCTTCAAAAGCACTCTATGAATTTAAGATTTTTACTGTAGATTCTAACTAGTTTTAATGTTGCGGGTTTTGCTATTTAATACAGTGAAAAGATCTTATTGTAGATATGAATTAGTAAGATAGTAGTATTATTGATCTAGTAGAGTTACAAAAGGACGATTAGAAAAAAAGCATGAACTAATCGGAATCTAAGTTTAGATAAATAGAAGACTAAAATAATGGTTGCAACGACGAAATAAAGAATAAAATGATATTTTCTAATTTCTATGGTATATGTCATATATATATTATTATTAGGAGAAAAGAAATTCTATATTGAAGATGTATCTGACAATATAAAAAAAAATGTTATTTTTTTAGTATAATGATGTTGTATCAACTGATAGAATAGTTATTCTAAANCATGAAATAATTATCGTATCTTGTTTCTTTTCTTTTTTTTTTTTTGTATTTGTCTTTGTTATTGCTGTTGTTGTGTACTTGTAATGAAATTACTTAGAAAGAAAGAACAAATATTTCTTTTAATCTAGCTAAAGTTCTGTAAGAAAAAGAAAACTTGATTAATATTTTGATTTATTCATTTATTTGACATTTAAAAAAGAAATTATTTTTAACCCTTTGACTTTTTTTCATACCATTCAGAACAAGTCTTTTGTATATTTATTTAAAGATCTCATGAAAACACAGTGATATAATACGTCATGTATTTGTACTTACATCAAATCAAAATATTAATCAAGTTTTCTTTTTCTTACAGAACTTTAGCTAGATTAAAAGAAATATTTGTTCTTTCTTTCTAAGTAATTTCATTACAAGTACACAACAACAGCAATAACAAAGACAAATACAAAAAAAAAAAAAGAAAAGAAACAAGATACGATAATTATTTCATGTCAACATCATTACTCGCTCCTTTGTGAATATCAAGTGAAAATTTATATTCATGATCACAACCCATATAAGCATCAGACATAAAATAAAGAATATAATTATGTGTACC